CCTGGACTGAGTCTACCAGGTTGATCGCAGTCCTCGGGGGAGGACTTGTCCTGGAGGAGGTGGGAATGGGGGGTGGGCTGGGGGTAAGGGGAGGGGGTGGGAGGGGGGAGAATAGGGGAACCCATGGCTGATATGTAGAACTGAATGGTATTGTAAAATAAAATATATATATTATATATATATAAACCCTGCCCACCATTCCCATCCCCACCAGGAGCCCAGTGTACCTTGTATCCACTGCATGTCAGGCCTGCATTTCTTTTTGCCAAGACGCATTTCATTCGAAGGAAGAAGGACCGCTCTATCTCGTACTCTGAAAGCAGAGACACCGTTGACAGGCGATTGTCCTGCCCCCTTCCCCAGCAGCCTCCCAAACTGCACCAGCAAATCCCTAGACACAGCAGCCAGAGACCTCCTCATTCATGGCCAGACCCTGACCCAGAGAGCTCTGCCAACTACTAGAGTCTGAATGGAGAGGGCAAGAGGCCTTGCCCACCTCAATATGGTTGCCAAAACTTTGAAGAAATGCAGCCTGAACCATGACCACAGCAAGAACCTTGGAAACCAACAGGTTTGTTTCCAAGATGCCTAACGGAATGGCATCTTCCCTCTGAAGGCCAGAGAGGAACTAACTGGGTGCCACAGTGGCTGCTTGAGCTGTTGGAAAGGCCCAGGAGTGTCCAACTTTCCTCAAAGCAGCAGGTACTAAATGCTGGTCACAACTTAGCCCCTGTCCATGGCAGAGGGAGCCAGACACATTCACCTCTTGTCAGCTACATGGTGGGCTCTGAGACACCAGGACTGGGTAAGATGGTTGTCAGTTTGGAATGCCCTCCCTCAAGTCTTTACCTCTCCAGGACTTCCCCAGCATGGCTCAGCTTTTACCTGCTGAGCCGTCTGCTGGCCATTTCCTCCCTTCCTTTTCCAGGCCTCACACAGGAAAATTTTGAGCATGCTGGGAACTGTAGCCCCAGGAACACAGGAGACCCAGGCTGCCGGCAGGGTTGAAAGCCAGGGCCTCTGGAATAAGCTGTGTATCTTCCTAGCACTCATCACGGTTGTAATTTAAGGAGGCGTGCGTGAGATGCCCAGGGCTTTTGAACCGACCTGAGCCATGGCACACAAACTGAAGTCCCTGCTCAGAATGCTTCCAAATGCATAAAGTAGATTACAAAAGAAACCAGCTCTATGGGGAAAGAATTACCAAAAATATCTAAACATGGCAATATGAATATAACTATCTGCCAATCTCGTGTGTTAAATTAAGATTCGTTTATGGGCCTCATCACTCAGTAAGTTTCCAAGTGTCCACTGCATAAATGTTTTGACATATCTGCAATGTCTGTGGTAACAAAGCCAAGATTCTAATGACCCCAGCATGGCTGAAAGACTCCGGTCATGTGCAAATGCTAATTGCACAGACGTAATCTCCCCCAGATATCTCCCATTCTCCAGTCCCTGATTCTGTTCTCAGAAGCAGCAGGCTGGACCTAGACTCATGATAGGCAGCACTGGAATTTTAAACCAGGAGCATGTGAGGGGAACAGCCTGTGACCCGATGCTGAACAGCCTGTGGCACATGGTGGGGACTCCATCACTGCTGGTGAACACACAGAGGCAAGCAGGGGACAAAGTGACAAGTGCTCAGGCAGCATGCACAACGCCGTGGGCTTGATCAGCTGCAAGCGAGCAGCACCCGTGCATAAGTGTGGCTACACCCACTGGGTGGGTGCTGCCGTTAGCTGACCCAAACCCAGCCCACGGGGGACCCTCTGGTTAGAGTAAGAGCATGACCTTGCTTCATTCTGGTCTCCTGTGGTGTGGAGGACGAACCTTGGAGCAGGTGATGGTGGAGTGGAGGGTGGGCTGTGAGGACAGCGGTCATCTCATCGTGGTCAGAAGGATGGATGTACTCATAAATACTGTTGCCTGTGAGCTCCACCTGCAGAGGGAGGGAAGGGTCCGGACACATCACAGGTCTCTCCAGGGCGGGTGCAAGGGCCAGAAGGACAGACCAGGTGTGCCCCAGGCTCACCTCATGCTAGGGATGGAATGTGGGTCTCTCCTTGCAACTCACACCTTGGCCAAATGCAGAGGTGGAAACATGCTCCTGTTTGCAGAGCCCTGAACTGTGCCCCCACCCCCACCCCCCGAAAAGGTCAAGAGCACAGGTTTGAGCTTCCAGAGAGTCCTGAGCAGAAGAGGTTCACGGGGAGGGGGGGGGCTAAACCGAAGGCTGGAGATAGCACCCATAGAGGGAAGCCTGGGCAGTGTCCTTCAGACAGAGAACATCTCACAACAGTCTCAAGCTGGGGCTCTGTCCTTCACCCTCACGTGCTGTGTGAGGGGAAGAGCCAGCTGGAGACCAGCTGCCTTGAGCCTTCTGCACCCCTGGAGAACCACATCCACTCAGAGGCTGACCAGCTGGGAGCCGTGGAGGAGGACTACCATGCCATCAGACAGAGGCTCCTTCTGTGTTAGCACTGAACCATGCCCCGGGCACTGCCAGAGCTCCCCGGTGTTGCCAGGAATGTGTCCCTGACCCTCCTGGTCCAAGCGGACTGCTTATTCTCTGGATCCACCCAGGGTGTGGCTGTGTCCCACCACATGACCTGTGACCTAAGGAGGCGGAGCTTAGGCAACAGGAAACAGCAGTTACTTCCTAAGGTTGCTCTCTCAACATGTGGGCATCACCAACTCCCAGACATACTCACAGGGAACCCCACAGCAGGCCTCTAGTCCACACAGGGCCAGACAGGGCTGTGGAGCAGCTTTCTGTGCAGTGACCATGGGTCTTACACATTGAGTTATCATACCCGGTATTACTCAGAGGGGCCCAGGAGCGGTGATATTCATTCCAACAGAGCCGGTGTAGGGAGAAACTCAAAGCACACTCAGAAAGTGCCCTCGGGTGGCAAGAAAATTAGGTGGATCTGAAGGCTTCTCAGTCCTGCCCAGGCAAGGGCATGACAGAAGGAGGCTGTGTTGCTGATGCTGTCCCTGGCCTCAGACACTTTAAGTGGGTGGTACTGAGGGTTATGGGTCACAGGATCATCTGTCCAGGGGTGACCCTGATGGTGCCACCTCAGGAAAGAGCTTAGTGACATGCTTTCCCAGGACCCACATCTTCACATCAGCATCCAGCCCCAGCTCCTGGCCATGAGGAGCTGACTACCTCCCCCATCCTTCCCACCCAGGGCTTCCAGTCTGCCAAGACGTGGGAGTTACTTTGCCTTTTGACATAAACTACATTTCTAAGTCTTCCCCCCCCCAAAAAAAAAAACTGCATCCACCTGTGGTGGTATTGTGTTCCCCAAAATATTGTGTACCTTAATAAACTTATCTGGGGTCAGAGAACAGAAAAGCCACTAGATACTTAGGATAGGCAGTGGTAGCACACGCCTTTCATCCTAGCATTCCAGAGGCAGAAATCCATCTGGGATCTCTGTGAGTTCAAGGCCACATTGGAAAGAGCCAGGCAAGGTGACTCATGTCTTTAATCCCAGAAAGCGAGCCTTTAATCCCAGGGAGTGATGGTAGAAAGCAGAAAGGTATATAAGGCGTGAGGACCAGAAACTAGAAGCATTTGGCTGGTTAAGTTTTTGGCTGGTTAAGCATGTGGCTGGTTAAGCATGTGGCTGGTTAAGCATTCGGCTGGTTAAGCATGTGGCTGGTTAAGCATTCGGCTGGTTAAGCATGTGGCTGGTTAAGCTTTCAGGCTTTGAAGCAGCACAGTTCAGCTGGGATTGATTCATTCTGGATGAGGACACAGAAGCTTCCAGTCTGAGGAAACAAGATCAGCTGAGAAGTTGACCAGGTGAGGTTAGCTGTGGCTTATTCTCTGATCTTCCAGTTCACCCCAATACCTGGCTCCGGGTTTGATTTTATCAATAAGACCTGTTAAGATTCATGCTACATCCACCCTTCTATTTCCTGCGTCATTTGTGGAGTCTTTCTTTCGAACATTATGCAAACAGCAGCGGGGAATCGAAGCACAGAACTTCTCCCTGCCAGCTACTTAAACCTCACACTCCAAACCTGAGGCTTCACAGCCAACCCCGTGAAGATCTCCCTATGTGAAAATACAGTGCACGACTTCATTTGACTATTGGTTACTTGTTTATTTGTATGCGTGTATGTGGTGTGTGTGTGTGTGTGTGTGTGTGTGTGTGTGTGTGTGTGTGTGTTGGGGGTATGCACATATAGAGGTGTGTGTTGTGTGTGTGTTGGGGGGCATGCTCATGTGGAGGTGTGTTGTGTGTGTTGGGGGGCATGCTCATGTGGAGGTGTGTTGTGTGTGTTGGGGGGCATGCTCATGTGGAGGTGTGTTGTGTGT